GGGGCAAGATTCGTCTCCTGAAGGCAGCGATGTTGGCGAAGTGGAAGCACATAAAGCGGCTTCACCTTGGGTGATTGTTTTATCAATTTGAGGGTCTTGGCAGCGCTGTGTAAGTAGCTCCGAGATTAGGTTCCAGTAGGCAAAGGCTGTAACTGGGACCTTTTCAGGGCCAAAGACCCGATAGTAATCCTTTAATGCATCTCCTACTCTTTCCCATCTTTTTACATCAATAAAGCCCTCTAAAGGAAACCAAGGGCAAACCTTATGAATAAATTGAAAATACTGCAATGAATCTTTTTCTTTAGCTTTCTCCCTCTTGTCTTTATTTTTTTTTTTTTTATTTAAGAGGAAAAAGAGAAAAACACAAAACAAACCAAAGCGGCGTAAGGGTACACGCAATACAGAACTACAAAACAAAACAAAACAAAACAAAAAACCATAACAGTAAGAAATTACCTGCTAGTAGATTACACACTATTTTCTTGAAAATAGTTCCTCAAATCACAGTATCAAAGAACACAAGGTGGACATTCAAACATGGAGACTACAAACAGCTGTGTTCAATGTTCCAAAAACATTGATAAAATCAGCTATTTAACACCCCCAAACACACTTGCTGTTATATCCGTTAGAGCTCCTTTTCTTTTTTTTTTTTTTCCCTCTCTTTTTTACAACAAAATTTACACATCTTGGATTTTATTACTCCTTAGTGCTTATTACTTTCTTTGGGGGGGGGGGGAAGAATACAGTCAAATATGGCAAAACAAAGCTGTCAGTCAATACCAAGGATAGACGTAGCACATGGTGTAGAACAGAGTACAAGTTTATCAACAATGGTTATCAACGTTGTCCCTTGTTTCCTTAAAAAGAATTGTCTATCTTATTAGATATTATAAAGTTGGACAAAACAGTAGAGAACAAGACCAATAAAACTTAGGCGTTGTAAACATTACAGGACTTCCAAAGAAGACAATAGTCAAACCAGAATGGGTATCTTAGTGAATCTTATTGTCTTCAAAGTAGTTGCCTATGTCTTCAAACTTGATACTATCATATAGAATGGAACAGAGTCTAATCAGTCAAAACAAGATCGTGGGAGTACTACAGGACTTCAAAACAAGTTAATAGGAAATCGAAAAGAGTTACTATTTATATATCCTAATTTTTTTTGAATTTTTTCTTTAATTAAGACAAACATAAGAAATGACTAAATTTTTTTTTGAAACAATAAGGGGGAGATTGAGATAAAACAGGACATAACAATATAACAATAGAGGTCACAGCATGACTGTTTCAATAACCTAGTACTTCACCATCTTATAACCTGACTTAATAGTAGTTACCATAGTGTCTTTTTCCTTGAAATATTTGGGTAAAACTTCATATACTCTAGCTTCAAATATTTTCATATCAAGAAGCCCAGAATAAAGCCTTTCTAATTAATGAGTGAAAACTTTATAAGGCTTCAAGGCCACCTAATGGGGAATCATGATTACCACATATTTTTATATATTTGAATCATTACTTACATTAGGGAAACTATTCGGTATTCACACATGCGAGATTGATTTATTTCACTTATGAGTATGGTCTCAAGCTGTGCCCATTTATTGATAAATATCTCAATGTGATCCTTCTTTATAGCTGAATAATACTCCATTGTATAGAAATACCACAACTTTTTTATCCATTCCTCAGTTAATGGGCACTTGGGTTGTTTCCAAGATCTGGCGATTACAAATTGTGCTGCTATAAACATAGGTGCACATATATCACTGTGGTATGATGCTTTCAGTTCTTCTGGGAATATGCCTAGAAGTGGAATAGCTGGAATAAATGGGATTTCCAGTCCCAACTTTTTGAGAAATCTCCAGACAGATCTCCACAAAGGCTGTACCAGTCTACACTCCCACCAGCAGTGCAGGAGAGTTCCTTTTTCCCCACAGCCTCTCCAGCATTTGTTGTTGGTTTTCTTGATCCTGGCCATTCTTTCAGGAGTGAGATGGTATCTCAGTGTGGTTTTAATTTGCATTTCTCTAATGACCAATGATGATGAGCATTTTTTCATGTATTTATTTGCCATTTGCATTTCTTCATCTGAGAATTGCATATTCATCTCAGATGCCCATTTTTGGATTGGATCTTTGAATTTCGGAGGTCTGAGTTTCTTTAATTCTTTATATGTTTTAGACAAGAGGCCCTTGTCTGAGAGAGAGTTCACTAAAATCTTTTCCCAGTTTGTGGGTTTTCTTTTCACTATGCTGGAGATTTCTTTTGACATGCAGAAACTTTTTAATAAGAAGTGGTCCCAGTTATTGATTCTGGGAAGTATTTCCCGTGCGGTTTGAGTCCTGTTCATGAATTCTTTACCTACTCCTATGTCTCCAAGGTTTCTACCTATTTTGTCTTCCAATAGATTTAGTGTTTCTGTTTTAATATTCAGATCTTTGACCCATTTACATTTTAATTTAGTACATGGTGATAGACATGGGTCTAGCTTTAGTTTTCGGCAAATGGAGAGCCAGTTTTTCCAGCACCATTTATTAAAGAGACTGTCGTTCTTCCAGTGAACCTGCTTGGCTCCTTTATCAAAAATAAGGTGGTTGAGTGTGTTCGTAGTTGTGGTTGTATCTTCTAATCTATTCCACTGATCTTCAGCTCTGTTTTGATTCCAATACCATGTTGATTTTACTACTGTTGCTTTGTAGTATAACTTCAAGTCAGGGATTGTGATGCCTCCTGCTTTGTCTTTGCTGCTTAGAATTGCCTTTGCGATTCTAGGTCTCTTCTGGTTCCAGATGAAATTTAGGAGTGATTTCTCTAGATCTATAAGGTATGTTGATGGTATTTCTATTGGGATTGCATTGAATCTGTATAACAGTTTTGGGAGAATGGCCATTTTCACAATGTTTGTTCTTCCTATCCATGAGCAAGGGATGTCTTTCCATTTTCTGAGATCATCTTCAATTTCCTTTTTCAGTGTATTATAATTTTCACTGTATAAGTCTTTCACTTCTTTCGTAAGAGTAATTCCTAAATATTTCATTTTTTTGCTTGCTAATGTGAATAGTCCAGTTTCTCTTATTTCCCTCTCTGTAATTTTGTTGTTCGTGTATAGGAATGCTATTGATTTCTGAGTATTGATTTTGTATCCAGCCACATTACTGAATTTATTTATTGTATCTAAGAGTATTTCAATGGAGTTTAGGGGGTCTTCTATGTAGAGTATCATGTCATCTGCAAACAATGATAATTTAACTTCTTCTTTTCCTATCTTTACCCCTTTTATTTCTCTTTCTTGCCTAATTGCTCTGGCTAGTACTTCCAGTACTATATTAAATAGGAGTGGTGATAAAGGACATCCTTGTCTTGTACCCGATTTTAAAGTAAAGGCTTTCAATTTTTGGCCATTTAGTATGATGTTGGCTGTTGGTTTGTCATAAATGGCCTTTATTATATTGAGGTAAAGACCATTTATTCCAATTTTCTGTAAAGTTCTTATCATGAATAAGTGTTGGACCTTATCGAAGGCTTTTTCTGCATCTATAGAGATGATCATGTGATTCTTATTTTTGGCTTTATTGATATGGTGGATTACATTTATTGATTTGAGTATGTTGAACCATCCTTGCATTCCTGGGATGAATCCCACCTGGTCATGGTGTATAATCTTCTTGATGATTTGCTGGATCCTATTTGCCAATATTTTATTGTCCCTCTTGTCTTTAAAGCTTTACTTAAACTTGATACAAAGCATTATGGTCATCTAATGCCTGACCCATGCCAGAGAAAAGGGAAAAGGATCGCTGTCTACTTACCATGACTCTAGTGGCGCGGCAGGCTCCCGCGTAGCGTTGGTCACAAAACTTTTAGTTTCACTTTTATGCGTGTGTCTCAGGACGGCTCCCTCATTGAGCCCTTCTTGCCAGGAGCCCCAGGACGGGCGCCACTTGACCCAGCCTGCGGGTCAATCCGGATCCGCGAGGCAGTTTCCTGGAGAAGGAACGGGGAATAACACAGACAGGGCCGGAGACAGAGAGAGACGGAGACAAGTCGAGAGAATCTGATCAAGCCTCATTTATTGATAAAGTGGTTGCTGCTTTTATAGGGCAGGGGCGGGCCGGTGGGACAGGAAGAGGCTATGGGGCGATCTCTGATGGGTCATCGTCACATCAGTGTAGGTGACGTAAGTAGGAGAGGATTATGATTAATGTAGGTAGGCGCATTATGTGCCCGTAGGTGGGAGAGGCGGGGAGACAGTAGTGGCGTGGTTGCACCACTCCCTACAAGCATTGAAAAAAAAAAAGGCTTTTATTCCATAAAACTGGACCTCTCATTATATAGCAGATATTACATATTTTTTGTGTAGATTCTTAGTTTGCCAAATACAAAGTTCAACAATGCAGTAAGTCCACATAAAGACACCCTGCCTTCTGACACCAGCTGTAAAGGACTACCACAACCCTTAGGTTTGACAATTTGCTAAAAGGACTCTCTTAATCATTTTCTTGTTCTTAGGACAAAATACTTAACACCTAGAGTATTTTTTTCTGATTCTCTACTTTCAACAGGAAGTAAATTACAGTTATATGGACAGATAGTTCTAGATTCTAGACCACTAGGAAATGGATTTGAGAAAGTGCATTTGGTAAAGGAAGCTTAATGGAGCTGAAGAAAAATGAGTGGAAACATCTTATGTCACTTAATAAGGCATGAGGGGATAAATGAGATTTCATCTCTTCCTAAATAATTTTCCTTGTCACATTGTTTTTTGTTTAGTGCCCTGGCTAGTCACTTCATTATTTCTCAGTCTTCTCATTCCCACAAAAACTTTCACCATTTTTTGTTTGCTCTTTACTTCTCCCTGGGTTTATTATACCTTCTCCATACAACTATAGTTACAGCATGCCAATGATATAAGTGCTTTTTGTTCATGCCTTATACATTTTCTCTTCACTTATATGAAGACCTACAGTGTTGTTAATTGTATTCTTTTCTAGAAGATGGAAAGGCCGAAGATGTTTTAGTGAAGTTCAGAGGATACCAAGACACGCATTCTAGATCAGCTGTATTTATCAATCACAAAAAAGCACTTAAGGAGAGAAGTAACATTTATGGAGAAACCCATACTTTAGTAAAGAACCATATTATTTCAAAAGCAACATTCTATGAACATAAATTCAATGCAAAAGTTTTGAAAAATATTTCCAAATTAGTTATTAGAAATATAAACCCTGTAAAAGAAAAGTTTGGTGAGAGTGATGGGTGGGAAAAACTAATCCTCAATACTAGACATGGAAAAATTCATCCTGCAGTAAATCTCCATAAACAAACAGAAAGAGATCTCAATGGTAAACAAGAGCTTAATCAGCAGCAAAAATTTCAAATTTCAGAGCAACCATTTGAATATAATGAATATGATAAATCCTTCCTTATGAGAGGAATGTTACTTTCACATAGTAGACCTCACAAAAGAGAAGGAACATTTGAATACAATACAGATGGAATTGCTTTCATGGAAAAGTATGATCTGGGTATCCATTCCCATAATATTATGGAGAAAAAGCTCTCTGCATACAGCAAATATGAGAAATTCCTTTGCACAAAGTCTTTTTTTATTATGCATCAGAGATCTCAAACAGAAGAGAAGCCATTTCAGTGTCCTTATTGTGGAAACAGCTTCAGAAGGAAGTCATATCTTACCGAACATCAGCGAATTCACACAGGCGAGAAACCCTATGTTTGCAATCAGTGTGGAAAAGCCTTCCGTCAGAAGACAGCCCTCAATCTTCATGAAAAAACACATATTGAGGGGAAACCGTATCTTTGTCTTGACTGTGGAAAGTCCTTCCGCCAGAAGGCAACCCTCACTAGACATTACAAAACACATACAGGAGAAAAGGCCTATGAATGTACTCAGTGTGGAAGTGCCTTTAGAAAGAAGTCATACCTCATCGATCATCAAAGAACTCACACAGGCGAAAAACCGTATCAGTGTAATGAGTGCGGGAAGGCATTTATCCAGAAGACAACCCTCACTGTACATCAGAGAACTCACACAGGAGAGAAACCCTACATTTGTAATGAGTGTGGGAAGTCCTTCTGCCAAAAGACAACCCTTACTCTCCATCAGAGAATTCACACAGGGGAAAAACCCTATATTTGTAATGATTGTGGGAAGTCCTTCCGCCAGAAGGCAATCCTTACTGTTCATCACAGAATACATACAGGAGAAAAATCCAATGGATGTGCTCAGTGTGGAAAAGCTTTTAGTAGGAAATCAAATCTCATCCGTCATCAGAAAACTCACACAGGAGAGAAACCATATGAATGTAAAGAATGTGGGAAGTTCTTCAGTTGTAAGTCAAACCTCATTGTTCACCAGAAAACTCACAAGGTAGAAACCATGAGGATTCTGTAAGTGATGTAACTTTTTTGTAAAATTTTTAAAGTCATAATAAACCCTATACCTGGTGTTGCTTGCAAATATAATAATATTCAATGGTTTAAGATACTATATTATATATTTACTCTTTTTCTGTGTGAAACATGCACACACATATACACATGCATAATTCTTGGATAAATTAAATAATGAGAATCTTGGAAGGAAATTCTGAATTTTTTTTATCAGATTCAGGACACTAAAACTTTTTCTGTTAAATTGCTAAAAAAAATTCAGAATTGTTTATTTGTACTTCAGTGTTTATCTTTTTGTGAACCAGTAATAAGCAATTGGCTGACTGGCAGTGCTCCCAATGATATGTTAATAGAAGTGCTTTAAAGAAAGGAAGTGAACTTGTATTTCTCACAGCAAATATGGAGTTGTGTTACCTCCTTAAAATTACTCATAGTTTTAACTTCTAACACTATAAATTAGTTTTGCATATTAAAAACCTTTATATATAACATAGCCTCTAATATCCAATGTGTCTCTATGTCTGTTGATCAATGCATGTGGCAGAAGCTCTTTTATTTTTATTCTGTATAGAAATCTATTATATCAATGTATCATAGTTTATCCATTCTGTTATTGATGGACTTTTACATTGTTTACAGCCTAGGGTCATAATAAATAATGCTTCTGAGAACAGATTTGTCTTTTGCTTTTGTGTATATACTTAGAATTCCTGGGTCTTAGGGCACATGTATGTTCAGTCATCTTTAGTAGATACTGCCAAATAACTCAGGACTTTCACACAGTAAAATTTACTCTGGAAGGAAATGACTATCCAATATTATGGGGTTTCAAACCACAGAATTTACGCTAAAGGAAAACTTTATCAATGTTATTAGGCAAGCTGGGAATGTGAATACAATGCACATAGAAAGGCTTTTAACCATAGCCCAAATCTAACCACTTAACAGTTTACTTTCAAGATCTCTTGGGCAGTGCTATCTCAAGTGTCTCTTGGGCATATATCATTTCAACCAGTCAATTATTGAATTGAATAAATTTGATAAGGTTGTCATTTTTAAATTTCTTGTTTTAGTAACTTATAAAAATTAATGGGAAAGGGCCAGAAATTTAGCTAATGGCACAAGTGCCTGCCTGGCAAATGCAAGGCTGTGAGTTCAATTCCTGGTACCAAGAAAAAAAAAGTTAATGAAAAAAATATGCAACTTTTGGTCATCTTATATTTAAATAATTGGACTGGTAAGTGATTAACGTAGCAGACTAATATAAAATATGTGGTTTCCTTTTGCCACCATTAATGCCTTGTTATTAAATTAAACAAAAAGTTATACTAGAGAAAGGCAAGCATTCACTATTTTCCTTGGTTAACATCAAGAGAATGCCAGCTGGAGAAAACGCCTATGAAAGTCCTGAAGTTGGAGAATAGAAGGAATGTGACCTTTATTGATGGCCTTTGTCTTAGTGGTTATATAGAAATGTTGGATATGGAAAAGCTTATACAACTCTTACGTGAAACTAAGGAATTCACCTTGGATAGGAACCCTTCAAGTGAGTAGGAGAATCATATCTCATTCCTTATAAAATTTCAAAGAATTTATACGAGGGCTAAGGATTTAGCTCAGTGGCATACATGCCTGCTTGGCAAGCATGAAGTCATAAGTTTGATCCCTGGCACCAAAAAAAAAAAAAAAGAATTTATACCAAAAATAAAGAATGATTACATTCTTATTAAATTTGATTAAAAGGACTTGATTAGTTTACCTGTCTAAGTAAATGCATATTTTACAAATTTGTAAAAATTAAAATAGCTCCCAAAGACCTGCTATAAATAATATAGAAGAAAGTAAGTCTGTCTTCAAACAGAGGCAAAGGATCATAAAATTCAAGCCCAAACTGGACAACCTAAGCACTTAGTCTTAAAAAAAAAAAAAAAAAAAAACGGTGAATGAGGCGGTAACTCAGTGTGAAGGCCCTGGATTCAATCCCCAACCACCAAAAACAAACAAAAGGATTCTGTGCAGAGACATTTCTAGCAAAATCCCATGAACTAAGAGGCAAAAGGAAGTCAAGATATGAAATCCAGTGAAGTACCACCATCTTCTGAAATGTTTTCATAAAGTCTGGTTAATTTTTGTTTTATATTAGCTGTTTACATGTAATATGCTTCTCCCATGAATTTTTGGTTCAGTAGTTTAATTTGGCATGAAACATCATTTGATTATATTCTAGAATCCTGCTTCAAATTTTTTTTTGAAATTGAGATCTTTTGCCAGGCGTGGTGGCTCACGCCTGTGTAATCCCAACACTCGAGGCTGAGGTGGGAGGATTGTTGTGAGTTTGAGACCTGCCTGGGTTACAAAGTGAGCTCGAGGCCAGCCTGAACTGCATAGCAAGACCCCATCTCAAAAAAAAAAAAAATTGAGATCTTTTATTATTTTTTTATTTTTAGGAATTTTCACTTTGTGAATTAATACATGAAATGAAGATTTTTTCCATCTAGTTGATGTATTGCTGTATTGTATTGGCATCTCTACGGAGCAAACATGAGTTTAGAATTCAACTCTACTCCAAATATATACAATGGTAGAGGAATCACTTTGCCAATTCATATTTTGTAGACCTATCTGCAGGACCATAAGACATATGGAAAGATAACCATTAATTACAAAGACTAAGTAAGATCCCACAGAGTACACTCATATTATGCTTTTATTTAAAAGCAAATGGTGTAACTCATTAAAAACAGAAAGAATGAGGAGGGGAATGTCTGAGAATAATCCAGGTGCAAGCTCCTCATCTCTCTTCCCTGAAAGACTACAATCCTTGTATTGAACCACTAAAATCTACATGAATGTTGACTTTTTTTTGGGGGGGGGGTAGCGGGGATCGAACTCACGTCCTCACACTTGCCAGGCAGGTGCTTATGCCGTTGAGCTAAACCCCTGGCCATGAATGTTGACTTTGTGAGTGCTTAAGGCAGAAGTTCTCTGCAAGAGTTCTCTTTTTGCTGATTACACTCAAGCCAAATTATCTAATTGGTTATGTACATTAAGAACCACCAGTAAACAAACTGGCTGGGGTGGAGATGCCTCTAGGGAAGTATCAGATTTTAAACTGTACCACATATATCTCACTTCCTCATCTCAGCCAGAGATAAATCCAGATACCCAGGCTTCACAGAGATTGTTAGAGCTTTGCAATCCAACTGTAAGTTCAACCATTTATTCTACAGTAAAATTTCTCAATTTTGTACATCTTATGATGATATATATGAAAAATCATATATATTCGCTCCCTATGTCTCCAGTATTAAACAGTGCACACTGCATCTCAGACATGAATATTCCTTGCCAGATAGTGCTTAAATTTCTCCATTTAATTTCTGATCAGCAACAGAGCCAGCCTTGCAAGGCCCTGGCTCAAAAGAAATATGCAGCAGTTAAGAGCATGACCCCCAGCCAGGTGTGGTAGCACAGACATATAACCACAGCATTCTGAGAGGCTGAAGCAGGAGGTTCATGAGTTTGAGCTTAGACTGAAAGCAAAACTGTCTCAAGATTTTAAAAGGATGAGTGGGGCAAGGGGTAGGGAGCTTGGAATGTAGCTCAGTGTGAAGGTCCCAAGTTGAAATCCAAATACCACAAAAAGAGAAAAAGGGCCTCTATACTGGTATCCACCATACACTTGGAAGGTTCAACCATTTGAGATACTCCTTATTTATACTCTTGGGCTATTCAGAACTCTAAGAATACCAAATGCTGATAAGGAATGGAGTAACTCTCAAACTGCTAACAAAATACAAAATGGTAAAGGAAATCTGGAAAACAATTTGTCAGTCTCTTAAAAAGCTGAACATACACTTCCCCTATGACCCAGCGATGTCATATTTAAGTATTTAACCTGGAAAAATGAAGATTTATTTTCACCCAAGAACCTGTACAGTTAGTCCCCAATTTATGAACATTCGAGTTGTGAACTTTCTCAGGTGCATTTTGTATAAGACTCTGTCAGATTACTAATGATTTATGAATATTCTCCTGGAATGGTATACAGTGGCACATGCCTGTAATCTCAGCACCCAGAAACTGAGGTGAGGATTGCCATAAACTCAAAGCCATCCTGGGCTACATAGTGAGTTCAAGGCCAGTCTGAACTACATAGTGAGATCCTGTCTCAAAAAACAAAAAGACATAATTTGGGGATTTACTGTACATGCATGTTAATAGTATCACCTGTAACAACCCCAAACTGGAAAGGACTGAGGTAAAGTGTTCAGTGAGTAAATAAATACAGTGTGGTCTGTCCACACAATGGAGTACTGTTTAGCAATAAAAATGAGTTACTGTTATATACAACATGAATGAACTTCAAATGCATTATGCTACAAGGAAAAAAGGCAATAATGTTACATTACTATATGATTCCATATGATGACACTCTGGGAAAAGCAAAAATATTAAACAGAATTGATCAGTGGTTTCCAAATGTTTGGCATTGGGGGAGGGTCTCAGTACAAAGGAGATGCATGAGAAATTCATTGAGGAATTGTTTTGTATCTTGGTTGTGGTCATAGATTCCAAAATCTATGCATGTGTAAAAATATTAAGAACATACATACAGAGAAAGTGAATTATTGTGTTAATTTTCTAAAAATAAATTTTTGAATGTCTAGCTCTATTCTCTAATTTCATTATCAGTGGGCCCTCGTAATTGTACCCCACTAAAGATTTAGACTGCTTCCGAATTGTATGACCAGTAGCCTCCAAACACACATCCACACATCCACTGGCCTTACCCACATGACCTCTTAATTACTTGTTCTTGGGTCAACTCATCTGCAAGACAGAAAAGACACTGTCCTTGGCCTATGTTTGTAAACTTCATCCACAGGATCATCCCCCACCTGGAGTAGCAAGTTTCATGTTTGGTGAAGGATTGTTGGAGAGCACACCTGGGGATAATGTACCATGGGCTGTGTATTTGCAGGGCATTCTCCAATGCAAATAACTATGCTTGGCCCAACATATTTACCATCCCCATCCATGCACATGCAAACACTAGGAATGATGCTAAATGGGCCAGTTTGCTCCTACCTCTTGGTTCTAAGTAATATTCTTATTTATAACACAGTCCTATATGAAGGTGTCCATGAATACTACATTCTACATTATAGTACCCTGTCCTGGCAGAAGATGCCCTTTGAGACTTCACACATTGGCTGTACTTTCAGAAGCCCTTTCTGGTGCTTTGCCAGGGGAACATCCAAATGTTGTAGTGTATGAAGCAGAAGTTCATTTTTATAGGCTAATCTTGCATATTTTTGCTGCAGGGTGAATTTTCTAGCAAGATGCTATGTCGCGTGAAATAACATGCCTTTGTATCAGGCATTCTATAAGCACTGAGATGGTAGTAATTGTTGAGGACTTTGGGATAGAAAGGATAGACTGATACATACCCAGAATAGTTGTCTGTTTCTGAGAACAAACTGTAAGCTCTTGCAAGATAAAAGGGGTCCAGTTTGGTCAACCTGACTTGTACCACACTACTGATAGGTCTTATCAAAAAGTAGGACCACTGAAGTTTCAGCTTTGTTTTCCCTTGCTGAAAGATTGGACCATCAGAGGCAGCACTATCAGTACAGTAAATACCTGACTTATAAACAAGTTCCATTCCAGGAGGACATTTGTAAATTGGATGTGTTCATAATCCAACAAAGTGAGTCTTATACAGTCCATCTGTGAAAGTCCACAATTCCAATATTCATAAGTCAGTGACTTACTATGATATACAGGCCATCTACATGCTCTGTCTTTGCAACTGTTACAATTTATAAATGTGCTATAATGCCAGAATTAGAGGGCAGATGATTAAGTCTGGTTAATAACAACAACCCAAGTCATTTTACATAGTTGGATGTCATGACACTTTTAGAATTGATGCTGTCTTTAGGATGTTAATGACACATCATGTCTACTCTTATGTCTATATCAGGTACCTTTATTATTATTTGATAGTTTTATATGTCAGCTTGGCTAAAGTATAGATCCAAGTTATTCAAACAGTAATCTAGATATTGCTATGAAGATACTTTGTAGATGAGATTAAAGTGCATAAACAATGCTAGTAAGCCACTCATATGGACTTTCAAAAAGAAAGATTATCATAAAGAACTGGCTAATACAGCTGTCAAGACTGGCAAGTCCAGTATCTTCAGGGGAGTCCAACAGGAGGGAAGAGTTAATACTATAGTTCAAGCCTAGAGGTAATTTGATAACAGAATCTTCTTTTTGAGGGAAGTCTGTCTTTTAAGACCTTCAACTAATTGGATTAGGCCCACTTACATTATGGAGGGTAATTAGCTTTACTCAGAGCCTACTGACTTAATATTATCTAAGAGAAATCTAGAATAACATTTAAGAAAATATAGGTAATGTGGACTAGCGAAGCTAGCACATAAAACTAACCAACACAAAGATGTATCAGATTTCAAGTCTTATTGTTTAGTCCACTGGAACCTTTTTCAATTTTCCTTTCCATGGAATACAAAGCTGGGCCATCAAAATGCAAAATGCAAGCATCACCCAATTACAGAGGATATGCTGAGTGGACCTGATGAGCAGAGAAGTACCAATACCCTGGTAAGATATTTGTATGTCAGAGGTGGGAAATAAGTCTTGCAAAAATTCTGGACTTTCAACCTCAGTGAAATTTCTATGGTGTGGTAAATGTCATAATATTCTTCCTAAGATGAAGTGTAGAGCCAGGGATATAGCGCCTGCCTGGCAAGCGTAAGGTCCTGAGTTCAATTCCGAGTCCCACAATAAATAAAATAAATAAAGCATAAATTGTTGCATGTGGCCCCTCCTACAACTGGAAGAGAACTACAAGATGATGTCCTTAATGTGCTGGATAGCTGTCTTGTTACTTTTTACTTGTTGCTGAGACAAAATACCTGAAGCCCAAAGTTGGGAAAGGAAAGGTTTATTTCTTAGTTTTTGGAGGTTTCAGTCCACACTCAGTTGTCTCCAAGACAGGCAGGCATGGCTGGGCTGCAGTTCATGGCGGCCGCCAGCAGCAAACTCAAACCAGCAAAGAGAAAGGTACACCTTCTTCCTGCCATTACATCACATCCTGGCTCCACCCCATGTGGGTGGAGCACTGACACAATCCAAGCACTATACAATGAACCATCACAAATGAACAATGCAAACTCATGAGTCCTGGGGGACACAAACATAAACCATGACAATAGCTCATAAAGTTTTGAGTGAAGCCAGGATCAAAAGAGTTCTCATCAATAGCTGGGCAAGCTGCTCCGCCATTGGATGTGCCTGAAGTAATGCTGTTTAGAGCCTTTGGGAGGCCTCTGTGAATCCTGCTACTCTCTGCACAATGCTCTCATTTTGAGGGAAAACAAACAAAAATTTGCCTTGCTTTTGTAATGGAAACTAAGTACTAAGTCATGGTCTGTTGAATTATGAGACTTGAACAGTAGTACTCATAAGGTGAGTATTGTCTGATAAATAAGGCCATAAAATTGGGTGCAAACAGCAGCACTCTGTTATCAAGTGGAAGTATTATATTGGAGATCTGGCTCAAGTAGGCCCTGAAAGCACAAATTCCAGGGGGAAAAATGGACTAAATAAACACATGACCCCTACTCATATTATTATATTATTCTCCCTCCTATACCTGTGATTTCATGGGAAGGTTAACTAACTTAGGAAAAGAAAAAACATGAGTCTGATTTACAGATATTGCTGCACAAAATGCAAGCATCACTCAAATACAACTATCCTTTCTGGATATCCCTGAAGGACAATGGTGAAGTGAAATCAACCCACTGGACAGAACTTCATGGAGCATAATTGATTGACTGATTGGAGATAAGTTCTATGTATCCCAGGCTGGCCTCGAACTTACTATGTAGTCCTCTGATATCCTCCTGCCTCATCCTCCTGAGTGCTGCAATCACAGGTGCGCACCATCACACCCATCTAAATATAATTGTTTTGCATGGAAGGAGAAAAGGCTCGAGGTCAACCATTAAGCTGTGCCTAAAGGTTTGGCTGGGTGATCAGAGATTAGAGGGAATAATTGTAAAATCTGTGAAAGGATGTCTCAGGAATATGTGGATAGATCTGTCTGGGCAAAAACGTGAAAATATTTGTATCTCATGGGAATGCTCACCATAAGATATTCTAGATTTCTGGTTTAAAAGCACTTGTAAGGGCTGGGGATTTAGCTCATGGCATAAGCGCCTGCCTTGCAAGCACACAGTCAATGAATTCGATCCTTGGTACCAAAAAAATAAAAAATAAAAAAAACGACTTGCAAAAAAAATTAAAAGCACATGTATGAAATAATATGTGTACAACTATATACATATAACTGTTGTTAAGCTTATAACCTATAGAAATGTACTAAATTAGGCAATAACAAAATAGAGGTGAGAGTAAAGTTGTATTAGAGTAAAAAATAACACCAGATATTAATTTAAATCTATAGGAATAAATAAAAAGGAAAATGGTAAATAAAACTATATACATATAACTGTTGTTAAGCTTATAACCTATAGAAATGTACTCAATTAGGCAATAACAAAATAGAGGTGAGAGTAAAGTTGTATTAGAGTAAAAAATAACACCAGATATTAATTTAAATCTATAGGAATAAATAAAAAGGAAAATGGTAAATAAGGTTAATATAACACTTTACACAAATGCATTAATAAGAATAACTAATGAACTTTTCTAACATATACAGATGCAATATTTATTATAAAAATAGCACAAAATGGAGGAATAGGAAATAAAAAACATTACATTATGATATAGTATAAAAATGGAGGGGCTGGACTTTAGCTCAGCAATATAAGTGCCTGCCCAGCAAGCACGAGATCATGAATTCGATCCCCAGTACCAAAAAAAAAAAAAAAAAAGAAAGAAAGAAAAGAAAAGATGGGGTAGAGCCAAGCATGGGGGTACATGCCTATAAGTCCAGCACTTGGGAGGCTGAGGGAGGAAAGTGAGGCAGGAGGAATGTGTGTTCCAGATCAGCCTGGTACTAGGAGTTGAACCCTTTACACTGATCAACATGGCACAGCCCTTGAGACAGAGTCTCACTAAGTCACTAAACTGAAGCAAGAAGATATAAACCTTTGAAAAGACCCATAACAGAAGATTAGACACAGACAGGAGCAAGTGAGCCGGTCACAGTGATATGTGCCTGTAATTCCAGCAAACCAAGGCAGGGGAATCAAAGTTTCAGGATAGCCTGGGTTATTGTTTTTGTTTTTGTTTTAAACAGAATCTTATGTAGTCCATACTGGCTTTGAACTTACTACATAGCCCAGGATGACCTCAAATTTATGGTGATCCTTCTGCCTCAGCCTCTAGAATACTAGGATTACAGATATGCACCACAATGGGCAGTAATATCTTTTGTCTCAAAATCTAGTAACATGCATGCCATAGATGTGCCACCACTGTCTTTCACTAGGCCTAGAAGAATACAAAAGGAACTGATACCATCGCAGGGAAAATGGCTAAAGGACTGTCTGTGTAGACTAATTTTTATTTCACATTTTTGAAAAAAAAATTTTAAATGTATTTCTATTGCCTAAACCAAAACTTTCAACTTTTTAAAAAGGTTACTATCATCAGCTACTCCAGATACTACCTCTACCCAATAAAAATAAAAGAATGTGGTCAGTCCATGGTACTGAGCAAGAAGTAAGTGAATGTCTACAGTAAGGAATGGCTTAAAATAGTAACACAATACTATAAATATTCTAAAGGTTTAAAAACAATGAATTAAATATTGATGTAGTAGCCTAGAAAACATTTGTGATTAAGTGAAAAGGGAAAAGTCTCTGAGAAATACGATCCTATAAGGGTTAAAGTCTACTCATCACCAACATGTGCAGACTGAGAATAAAGAAAGGAGAAACACACACATTGGTTATCTCAAGAATTTATGAAAGTAAAGAGATTGTTTCCATTTTACCCCTGACATATTTTACTGGTTTTAGTAAAAAGCTATATAATTTTAGCAAATGCATATGTAATAATGGTTAATATGGCAACAACTCAGAAGGCACACTAAAACCAGAACAAATTTTACTCTTTGCTTTTTCATTTTCCCACTTAAAAAGAACATTTTGTTTTCAAGGGTTTTGGAACTATATCAATGCTAGTAAGATAATGTTTTATCAACTTCTTCCCTAAAGAAAACAAAGAATGAGTATCTTCAATAATAATTTCATAGCTGGGCATGGTGGCACACACCGTGCCCTGAGGCAGGAGGATCCTCCTGAGGCAGGAGGATCGTTGCACATTCAAGACCAGCCTGGGCTACAAAGTGAGCTCAAGACCATCGTGAACTGCATAGTGAGATTGTCTCCAAAATTCAAAAAAAAAATTTCATGATGCCACACTAGGATGTGGAAGAAGAGGAAACATTACTGGTTTCTCACCAATATGAAGAATCTGATGTAGACTAAGTTGTAAGCCATGATTAAAGGTCTTGACATATGTATATTTTTTCCAGAGTGCATTCTCTGATGATATGAGACGTTTGAATGATAGTTAAAGGCTTTTCTGCATTCTCCCCAGTATAAATTCTTTAATGTTGAGTAGGTGTGAATGAAGTCTAAAGGCCTTATCACATTTCATACATTCATGAGGTTTCTCACCAATATGAATTCGCCGATGTCTTCTGAGGTATGTGCACTGTCTAAAAGTCTTTCCACATTTTTTACACTCAGAAGGTTTCTCACCAGTATGAATCCTCCAATGCAGAGCGAGTTGTAAGGTGACACAAAAAGCATTTTCACAGTTATATTCATAAGGTTTCTTGCCAGAATGAGTTTTCTGATGCTGAGAGAAGCCTGAGTGATAGCTTAAGGTCTTTCCACATTCCCTACATTCACAAGGCTTCTCGCCAGTGTGAACTCTTTGATGCATTCTAAAGTCTTCCTACATTCTTTACATTCATAGTTTCTCACCAGTATGAAATCGCAGATGTTCAGTAAGTTAAAAACCACGAATAAATGCTTTCCCACACTGCTTACATTCATAGAGTTTTTCTCCAGTATGAAGTGTCTGATGTTGAGTGAGTTATGATGGCTGTTTAAAAGACTTCCTACATTTCTTATATTCATAGGGTTTGTCACCAGAGCGAATTCTCTAGTGTAGAGTCAGTTTTGAACCATAATTAAAGACCTTTCCACATTCCTTACATTCATAACATTTTTCACCACTATGAATTCTCAAGTGGTGTTCAAATTGTGAATACTGAATAAAAGATCTGCCAACATTCCTTATACTTATTACCATTTTGAATTCTCTGTTGTTTAATAAGGAAAGGTGTACTAATTTCTGTACTTTTTGTATATTCAGAAAGTTCTTTAGAATATGTTTTGTGATGGCTTAAAGTGTTAACTAGAGTTTTTTCTACATTTTTTATATTCAGACATTTTGTCTCATTATAAAGTTCTTGAATGAATACAGTAGGTTAGCAAAACATGGGAATATTTTTATGGTTAATAATAAATTGCCTAAAAAGAGCCCATCTTGGGGCTGGGGATTTAGCTCAGCGGCATAAGCACCTTCCTTGCAAGTGTGAGGTTGTGAGTTCGAACCCTGGTACCAATAAAAACGAAAAAGACCAAAAAAAAGAGCCCACCTGTTTTCACTCAAAATGATATTTGCATCCCCAAATATCTCTGAAAACGGGTCCCTCAGCATTACGTCTTTTAAAGTGTTGCACAATAACACACTGGGATGATACTGTCCCATAACTGTCTCTTTGAAGATAACTTCTTGCGCTCATCTCTGGATACAAAGTCTGAAAGATAAATATTTTTAATTTCTAGTTTTGTGTTCCAAGAGGATTAAAATATTTATAGAAGTGAGAGATATCTAAATATACATTACATAAGAAATATAAGACATTGTTCAATACTGTCAATTGAAAGGAAAAAAGATAAGGACAACACCAAGAATTGAGAGCTTACCAGGCAGGCACTTATGCCACTGAGCTAAATCTCCAGCTCTTGGTCCTGCAGATGAACTGAACTCAGCAAGACATTCCCTCCTTTATCCAGTTTATCCAGGGGTAGTCAGTAAGTGGTCAGGCCAAAGTCATTTCAACAGTTGTTTCACCCAAGTGTCTGGAACCTAAAATTATGAGAAGCTGGGGACTAGAACAGCTGCAATTCTCAGGGTCCTCAGTCTTTATGTAGTCTCTCTATAGTCTTTCAGCATAGATGTTTCAAGGAAATAGATGCCATCTTACCTGGTAGCCAAAGGCTCCAGGTGGAGAGATTCAGGACAGCAGGAAGATGTGAGCAATGCCAGGCACAAGCTATCTACTTACATGACAGCCTGGGAAATCCTAATGTTAGCCCTTCTGCTGAGTTCTGTTTGTTAGAAACAATGTCTGAGTTTCCAAAGGAAACAAAAAATTTACACTCTATTGTTTTGGTGGAAGACTGGCACAGAATTTGAAGATTTTTTGTGTGTGTGCACTGAACTCAGGGCTTCATGGATGCTAGGCAAGTGCTTTGCCACTGAGCTGTGACCCAACACTGAAGGCAGTTTTTAAGCAAACATAACACACATACCACCACCACCACCACTACCACCACCACCACACATAAGTGTGCAGAAACACACTTCTGCTTCACAAAAAACCTTACACTAAGTGAACTCACCTCTGAAACCACCATTTAATCAAGAACTAGAACATTACTAGGAATCCAGAAGGCCTCCTCATGCCCTTGTCCATCATTATTCATGCACTAAAGCATTATCCTGCCTTGTGATGCTACACAGATTTTGTCTGTTTTTGAGTTTCAGATAAATGGAACCATATAATATATATATATATTTTTTTTTTTCTCCAGCTTCTTTTATCCAATATTGCATTTGTAAATCTTGTGAACTTCAAGTGCTTTTCTTTCAATTTTGTGTTTTGGTTATGTTTTGTGAGACAAAGTCTTTCTGTGTAGTTCTGCTGGCCTTGAACTCTCTATGAAGCCCAGGATGGCTGCAAACTGATGGCAATCCTCCTGCCTCAGCCTCCTAAGTGCTGGGATTAACCATGTTCAAGCATGCTTTGACTCATTTTCATTACTGCCTAGCAACAACATTTAAAAGCTTTCTCCAGGGAACCGTAAAGGTTTCCTTAGACTTCCAGATGTGAGTCAAAGGTATTTTCATGTTACTAACAGGACTTTATTTGCCTTAAAATTTCTTCTTTTTTTTATTTTTATTTTTTTGCTTTTTCTTTTTAAAGAAACAAAGTCTCATTTGTTGCCAAGGCTGGCCCCAGACTCCTGGGTTCAAGCCATCCATCTCCTTCAGTCTCCCAAGCAGCTGGGACTGTAGGTACACACCAGTTTTCTGTTTTCATTCATTCTTTCACCAGTGTATAGGGGAGTTTTCAAGAGATCACTGAATGTGTGTGGCCCTATGTGATTAATGTATTTTTGTGTAGTAGTAGTTTCCATACTGCTCTTAGAGAATAAATACACAATTTCAGAGATGAACTCAATTTGCTTTCAGTAGTCACGTGCCTTTAAAACATATTTACTTGGGCCGAGGACTTAGCTAAGTGGCATAAGCACCTGCCTTGCAAGCACGAGGTTGTGAATTTAATCCCCGGTACCAAAAAAAACAACACCACATTTTCTTATACCTGCTTTCATCTCTGCAACTTTATTTATGTCTGTTTATCTTTGAAACAGTCTCCCTATGCAATTCAGGCTGGCCTTGATCTCATTATGTGCCCAAGTTGGCCTCTACTTGAGCTAATCCTCCTGCCTCAGCCTCTTGGGTGCTAGATTACAGGTGTGTGCTGCCATTTGCAATTTTTGTATGGTTCAAAAAATTATTTTAAAATTTCTAATGTGCCTACTGAAAACAAAATGAGGATACATCCTTTTTCAAATATTTTATAAAATAATATATATTTCTTCTACTTAAGGATTGGTGGTGACTTTTTTGAGACTTTGTTTTTAAAAAATCTTATAAAGTTTTAGTATAAAGTCTTTGTTAAGATGAGCAGGTTCTAGATATTAACAGAACAGCACAGTTAACCCAGTATAATGCTGTATTGTATTCCTAAAATCCTAAAACAGTAGCGTTTACCTGAACCACAATACATTTTTAAAAGACATTCACTTATTTATTTATTTACTAACTTACTTACTTACTTACTTATTTATTTATTGGTACCAAGGATCGAACTCATGACCTTGTGCTTGCCAGGCAAGTGCTTATGCCACATTCACGTATTTAATAAGTATTAATTTTAGCATTGACCAGATGTGGTGGTATACATCTGAAATCCCAGTACACTGGGAGACTGAAATGGAAGGATCTCAAGTTCAAACCCAGCCTGGGAAACCTATCAACTTAGTAACACCCTACCTCAAAATTAATAAAAAAAGGGCTGGGGATATAGCTGCAAACTAAGGCCCCATGTTCAGTTCCCAATCACAGACACACAGAAATTATATTGTTCGTGAAGTCATAAAGTTTATCTTGTTTTTTCCACAGCCCCAGCGATGACTGGGGACCCCTGATCTAAAATACTGAAACATAAACTAACATATCAGAGTTCTCAGGCCTGGGGATTTAGCTCAGCGGCATAAGTACCTGCCTTGCAAGCAGGTGGTTGTGAGTTCGATCCCTAGTACTGATAAAAAGAAAAAAAAAAAAAGAAAACATATCAGAGTTCTCTGATTCACTGAAGGAAAGAATCTATTTGAAACAAACTAGGCCATGAGAAATAAACATGATAAAAGCTACTTTCCTAGGTTTTATAGATACTTATAATTCACCTCTGTGTGTGTGTGTGTGTGTGTGTGTGTGTTACTAGGAATTAAACCCAGGGCCTTCGCACTTCAGTCTCAGTCTCTCTCACTCTTGCTCTCACTCCCTCTCTTTTAATCTTGAGACAGGGTCTTGCGAAAATCACCAAGTTGCACACTTTGAGTTTGAATCTGTGACCCTCCTGGCTCAGCCTCCCAGGGTGTTGGGATTAGAGGTGTGTGTCACTATTCCTTATTATGCCTTGTCCTACAGAATTTTTTCAAACATGATGCTAGGAAGGTAGAAGTGTCATTTTAAGGCAAAGTTTTAGGCCAGGGGCCTAACTTCAGTAGTCTCAGCAAACAAGTCTGGCCATTCATGCTATAAGTAAACAGCAAAAGTAGCTGTGAAGGGGCTGGGGATTTAGCTCAGCGGCATAAGCGCCTGCCTTATAAGCAGAGGCAGTCGTGAGTTCGATCCCTGGTACTGATAAAAAGGAAAAAGGAAAAAGACCAAAAAAAAAAAAAAAAAAAAGTAGCTGTGATGTAGGGAAGGAATTTGATGTAGCTATGCCAAAAAGGAGAACCAAGCCTTGTCTTCCGGGATACTTAGATAAGCTTCATTTTAAATGAGGGAAGAATTGCGGCAGGAGACAATAGGTAAATATAGTTAAAACTGGTCTAGCTGATCATTCTATCAGGCCTGGTTCAGTGAGGTTGCTCTGAAAAAGTTATTTCTTGCAAGGTCATTTTGGTTCTCTTTATCAGATGATTGTTCCTTCTCAAGGAGAGCAGCTGCAGCTTCTGAAAAGGCATAATTGATCCCACATGGGGGTGGGGCAGTCACATCACAGACCAATCTGCCTGCAAGGTTTAGGCAGTGGTGGAGAACCTACAGCACACGTGCAGTGGGCTGTGTGTATTACTGAAAGCTCTGAATGATGGAGACTTCTAGACACCCACCCAGGGATCTGGAACAAGATGCTGTAAAAGTTGGGAGGTGATGAAAATGTACTATGATATTCCTGTAAATCTTGACAATACCTTAGTCAGTCTTATCTTGATATCTTCAGCCTTGAAGGGGAAGGGTGAACAGCTTTAGGAGACTCCTAAAATGATTAACGTGTCTTTATGCAGAGCTGACCAGGAATCTGACCCCAAGTTTTCAGGAAGTAAAGGAGACAGATACAAAATAAAGCAGAGTTGCCAAGCTCTTATACTGCTTTGAGATGTCCATTAGCAGCTGTCTGAAGGCCAAGTAAAGTCAGTGCTTTGTAGCAAAAGCATTCACATTCTAGTTACAACTTTGAGACCAATCATTAAGAATGTAAAGAAAAGGAGATTTAGTATTTTAAATAGACATAAGTTCACTAAAAGGCAAAGTTGTTTTTGCTCCAACTGTTGTGGATACTAGAAATACCAAAGCCACCAAGTGATCTTATAGGAAAATTAGTCTTGCAAATAGCAAGGGTCTAGGAGACTGAGGGCAAGGAAAGAAGCAGAGGGGAAGGGAAAATAAGTAGAATTAAGATATACCATGCACACATCCTAAAAACCTCAGAGAATGTAAACATTTTATGCATGAACATGAACTAAGAGTAGTAATATCAACAAGAATGAAACTAGGGAAAGAGGATTTAGAGGTAGAGGCAGGGAGGTATATGGGAAGAGAAACTGTATTTTTTTTA